TATATATACATTCTTTTTCTTTTAGGCTATACACACGACTATTGTTCACATAATCAACTCGAATACATAATATTTTTTGATAATCATGCTTACATATCAGCATTTGAAGCGGGCATTCAAATGCTAACTGAAAAGCTCCCCAGCTATATGAAATGGGTCATTTAAACTATCTTACTTTATTTTTTCATTTGAAGCTCAATCGAAAAGCTGTTCTACTTTGCATACAGTATTATCTTATCTAATCTATTAAGAATCTGCCATTCTGGAAACTGCAAAAGTATTTTTCTGTTTAGTTTTTTTCCCCATCCCCGTTTACTAGGTTTATATATATATTATAAATATATATTTCTTTTTTTTTTTGTGCTATTAATCAGAAATTTTATAACTTCTTTTTTATTAGCCAAAGCCAGAAATATATCTTTTGATTTGTTTGTTAAGCGTTTATTAAAAATTCCACTTTTTAAATACGATTTAAAAGTTGTGAATTTATAAATTGCTCTTAAGTTTTTTTGTCACATTGAATTTGTGTTATTTAGTCAAACGTTTATTTTGTTTTTCTAATAGATTTAAGAGATTTTGTTGAACATATATTTTGATTGTTAAACTTTTGTTTTCTTTCGGGCCACTTTTGGCTAAAAATTAGTTTTAATGCTCACAACATTGTTCCTATTATTTATGTCTTTACATTATTATTCATGTATTTTTGAGAACGAATCTCGATGCTATGTATGTAACAACAAATGATTACATATTACGATTTAATTTAATACACAAACATTATATTTTGTACACACGCTTAATACATACAAAAACACTCATAAATATACTATTTCAAACATATATATACATACATATATATCTTTATATATATGAACACAACTAATTGTTTCTATTTTGTTTTTATTTTCCTTATTGAATTCCATTTGGTGGAATATGCTTAAGCAAATACCTAACACTGCGCTTCCCCATGCTGATACACTTGCCATTTAGTCGTATATCAAATATTAAATTCAAACGAATTTAAGCATAAATACAATCAAGTTATTAATTACTTTAAACGTTGCAACTAAATACTCCAAGGATATATAAATAACTAAGTAACTAATTAAGTGGTTTAACAGTTGTTAAATGTGCGCTATTAGGGCAATAATATTATTAATAATTATCATTATCATTCCAATCACAATTTTTGTTTCGCCAATTATTGTGTTTTGACGGATAAATGAAGATGAAAGAGAACCTACAGGGATTTTATGGTAGACTTCAAGTAGCGCAACAAAAGAAAAAATAAATAAATAAAATTAAACGAAAACATAAAAACAAATGTTAATAATATAGCTGCCATGCAACTACTAGTTGAATTTGTTTTAGTTCTATTTAAAAGGAATAACAAAATCAAAACAACAATTGGACCTACACAACAATAAGCAATTTTTAAATTAATTCAAAACTGAATGATGATACGCGGGTCTTAGGGTAAACTTGGATGCCTCTTAGTATAACGGTTTCTGTTGTAGCGCCTAGCTTAAAATTTTACGTTTTGCATAAGGCAACGGGTGGATCATCTACATTTAGTTGATGTATGTCAATAAGTAGCTATAAAATCCTTCAAATGCTTGACAATTATCATGCATAGTTATTATATATTATGCTTACTCAAGTCTATAAACGCCTATATACATAAATATATATAATATATAGTTAATGCCTTCAGTAACACAGCAAGTCACCCCACTCAAATGAAATATAAAATCGCTTTAACGAAAACCACAAATCAAAAAAATGCTTATATAATATATACACATATTTATTAAACCTTATACATAAAGTGCATTCCAAATAAATACATACACAAATATATGTGTATGAATAAAATCAGGTGTCATCAGAAATTGGATTATGTATATACATATATGTATATACAACCAAATATTTACCAAGAAACTCATTAATATTTAATAAAAATATGATAAAAACAAAAAGGAATAATCAATCGAAATTAAAGCGAATGAACATATACATATATACACACGTATACATATAAAAAACATATACCTTTAACTAGATAATAAAATGTATATATAAATATACATATATACACATACATACATATATATATATATATATATATATATATATTGAAAGATATTTATACATAAAATGGTGCTTTAGCTGAATTATAATATAATTATATGTATTTTTAAGACTTATATACCAAATAATCCCTTAATATATTTAAAAAGGAAAAACCAAAAAAGAAAAACTCAGAACTTGTTTCTCTTGATTGATTTCTTAAACAAACAAACAGACAACTCGATATGAGTGCTGTGGCAGGCAGCACACTTTTATAAAACTAAAATCAAATGTTTTTAACTGCTAAACAACTAAATGCCAAATACTCGATACATTTTTGGATTATGTAAACAGACATGCTTGACTTTTAAATAACGACAAATTTATATACTTTTACTAACCACATTTCAAAATGGAGATGGTCAACTACTTTTAAAATAATAACTTTTTAAGGCTATTTCAGGGGAGCTCACCAAGCCCCAGCCAATTAAAAATCTAAAAAAAATTGGTACTCGAACTACTCAAAGAAGATTATACATACTATATATACAAATATATATATGTATATATTTTACTTTAATGTTTTTAACGCATTTTACGAGCAAACTACATCGCGTTTTTAAATAACAAAAACAATTAAAGAAATTTTAAAACAATTTTCAAAAGATGCTTTTCACATTATCATTTGAAATATCAGTTTTTATTTTCATTCAAGCTCTCAAAGTGTTAAAAAAAAAAAAAACAATTTATAAAAATTACTCAATCAATGAATTGAATAAAACGAAATGTAATGGAACCAAAATCGAACGCTTCCCACGCAATAACAAAAAAAATAAAAAATCAGATAATATTAAATTTTAGCAAACCTAAGAAAAAGTAAAAAAAAGAGAGGAAAAGTAATATGTAACAGTGCAGCAAATACTTCTAAACATTTAAACAAACAAAAAGATATATATATATGTATTTTACGAAATGAATTAATTGATATGTTAATCTAGATTTATTTTTAAGCGATTTCACACTATACACATAAATATATAACTTTTAAAGCTCAGCTAAGGTAAGAAGGCAGAATCCAGAAACCTTTCCCCAACTACTCAAAACATAATCTAAATACATGCATACATTCGGCGACTATGTATATCTCTTACAGAACTATGCTAACTAAACTATACATATATATTTCTAGCTACATTTATGAACAATATTTTTAATAAGCATAATATTACGATACAATATACAATATACGACATTAAACATTGAGCAACATAAGCGACATGTGAGACACATTTGGGGGAACATTAGCAAAACAAAAACAAAAAATCAACAAAACAATTTGCAAATTGAATTTTATACTAAAATGTTAAAAACAAACACATTATTTGAAAGGTTTTTAAAAAGACTTATACACACATACATATATATACACAGAAACGAAGATGGAGAAGAATACGAATAATAATGAACATTACTAAGCTTTTAAATGCAATAATCAAGTACCATATATTTTTAAATAATGGATGACTTTAAAGATAATTGATAGAGGGTGTATATGTGAACATATATACCCGATTTGAATGCGTTATTGTTAAAATATAGCGAAAGCGATAGATTGAGAGATAGGGATAGGGCGAGGGTTACATTAAGAATTAAATTTGGGGTATTTTAGCTTCGCGAAGAGTAGCGGAAGCGTTCTCACCCTAATTCTAATTGATTTTCCCACCTTATATATAGGAATATAAAAAATTACTGCAGTGCCATTTTAAATAGCTTCCGATAAGTTAACTATGAAAAAAAATTATATATATATGTACATATAATACAAATAAAAAGTATATATATATATATACATGCAAACAATACATAAAATACGTACATACCTAGTATATATATATACGCATACATACATAACTAATTATATATATATATTTATATATATATTGTTATGAGCTAAAGTTCAAATTGCATTACGGTTATAATATTATATAAAATAAACAAAGCAAAAGCAAATGGAACAAAGTTGAACATATTTTGAGTGCAGAAATTTTTTGAACTTTTTGAATGCTTTTTTTGTACAGCATATAGATCGATGATGACTATGGAACAAATAATAAATATATATGAATATATATATATATACATAAATGTATATGTATGTATGTAATCCAATATAAGCTGTAATCAAAGAAATATATATAAATAGTTAGGTAACGAATTAACAAATCCCAAAATATCTATAAATATCAACTAACAAGATTTTTAATGAAATAAAACCTTTGCGATAAACCAGAAAATAAACAAAATAAAAACAATGTATGCGCCTAAATAAGTTATGAATTAATATGCAAAATACTAAAGCAAAATTAAATTAAATTTTAACTATAAAGAATAATATTTATTCATAAATACTTATTAAAGAGCTTAAAAAGGTGGCAGAAAAGTAACAAAAAAAATCCCAATTATTTAAATAATTGTTAATATGTATTTACATGCTTGGACAGCAACCAAATTTACTTTGTGTACAATAGTATATATCTATATATATATACGATGAATAACAATAGTAATATAACTTTGACATAACTCGCTATTTACACACACACACACAGAAGCAGAGGAAAATCCCAATGATCCCATGTATTATACTGAACAGAGAGATGTGTGAAATGATCCTTAAATTGCAAATCAAAAGCATACTTAATGTAAAACAATAATCATGACTGCTATCTAAACTGACAAATAGTAATTTAAAGCCGAAAGCATTATAAAACATGATATACCCTCAAAGAGACGACAATATATAAAGGCCTGTAACATAGGTAAACCTTATGCTGAGTATGCAAACTAAAACGTGTAAATGTATATCAACATGAGCATGAAGATGGAATAGATAATAAAGGACACACAGACCAAAACATACAAACATCTTATACTTTCTAGTTAATAATTTATATATTTTGTGCTTACATATTTAAGAACTATACAAATTCTTGAAAATTCCACATTTCCTCTTAACGACTAGCTACAAATGCTGATGAATATTTATTGGCCCTGATAACCACAAGAATTATTTGCAAAGTCTTCTTTTAGCAAAGATTTGGTAGATGCCCAAGCCAGCTGATAGTGTTCCGATGGCGCCCACTTGAAAAGTGGACAATTTGCCACCCCACAAGTAGCCTTTGGGCAGGGTGCTGACGGCATGCACAAAGTCCAGTGAAATGCGGGCGATAGACATAAGCTCCAGACGATGTTTGGCCAGCGATTTGGCATCAATATTCGTAGGGCTGCATAGCTCATGACTGCGATTTAGCTTTTCCTGATTCAGCCAAAAGTTGCGAAGTGTGCTGCAATTAAGAATTATTTAATATCGAATACATAGAAATCTATACCATTTCAGCAACTAACCGCATTAGGTTCAAGTAAACCGAAAGCACCCAGAATACTGAATTGGCATTATCCCAATTGTCAGCGTGCTTTACGTCCACAATCTTATGCTCAGACAGCCAACAGATTTTCTCAATCGGATAGTATAGCAAATCGACAATATTTGCAGTCACGCCAAGTATTGCCATAATGCGATCCGGTTCATTTTCCCCCAGCCCATATTCCAAAGCATATTGTATCATTGGTATGTCATCGATAAGACGTAGCGTAGCTCTTGCTCCAGATATCTTTGAACTGGCGGTGGCATAGCGCTTAGCCAACTCGGGATTCCGCTTCAGATGATAGCCAGCTACAAGCTTGGCGCTGTAGCACAGCGCTTTCATAACCTGAGAAAGAGAATAATGATATATAAAAATTTCTATATTATATATATATACTGTAATGTCTGCTTTTCAATATTTAAGTTGCTCTGGCGTTTATTTACTTAAACCTGATATTTGTTTATCATGCTCGTTTACAAAGTGAAAAGAGTATATTGGCTTTTGTCTTGACTATAACCATATCTCTATCTTTCGTTGGAAATGAAATTTAATATTTGCAGGCCTGTTCATTTATAGAGCTGGGAGTAATATCGAATTACTATTATACCTCTACTTTCTACTATTATTGAATAAATTAATTTATTTCTTTATTATTATTTTTTTTTTTTAACTTGAACGAGTATTGCACAGTCTTACTCGGTTTTCTTTTATTTGTCTTCCATTAGAGCACTTTCTGAAATTGTTTTTCACTTATAAAGAGATAAAAAATTATCAGCGATAAAAAGAACACTACGAATGCGACGAACATCTCAATAACTGCGTCTATACCCAAGTGGTTTTTGGTTTTTACTTTCATTACAATTTCCGTCATAGGTCGCTTTCATATTTTATTAATGCTAAATGGGGTTTGTCTTAGCTTACAATGTTGTCATTGCTACTACAAAGCAATCAATAGCCATTAATTAAATATCTATGGGGTATATTCGTTTTGGACTTCACTTGCACATAGGGACTTTTTAACTAATTCACCTTTCGCTCATAGCCGATAAGCTTTTTGATTTCTTGCCGGGTAAATGTTCGATATGCCGTAATCTGTACCATTACTGTCTTGACTTCTGTGCAGTCTGGTATTAATATAACTGATTAACTGATTAAATCTTAGGTATTTGCAGAATGGCAACAAGAAGTAAGGCAAGGTTCAACCATGGCGCTTCCGACTCTGATCAAGGTAACAAAAACCTGTTGGTGCGGTAGATCAAGACCCACACCACGATTGCCACGCTGCATTTTTTTTAACAACAAATAAGCCGAAATTTTATAAATGCGTTCACGTTTTTTTTTTTTTTTTTTGGCTGAACTAATTGAACAATTATTTATTACTCACCTTATCCCGCCCTCCATAGGAATCTATAATATCACAGAATTCAGCAACAAACTTTGTTGTACTGCCCATATTAAAAATGTCTTAATTATTTTTTAATTATAAATGTCTCAAGTTGTGGAACTTTGTTCCTAGTAAATCTACAAAAAATAACAAAAAATAGACAATAGGAAAGCAACCGCGCGAACTACCGAATGACAACACAACAAAAAGAGTACTATTACTTTCGAACAGCTGTTATATTGGTATCGATGCAATGGTGGAATGAATCGATGATTTTAGCGGCTATCGTATGTAACACTAGCGAATATTTGGACGTTGCACAGCACTGCACATATACACAGCACGGATGCTTCAGCAAGTTGCAGGACGGGATTAGGATTCGATAAAGGACCACGAGCGGAAATATGAGTTTGCCGAATGCGAACAACAACAATCATGCTTCATCGCCAATATTCAGCAATAAGTCAGTCATAAAGAAGAGTTCGAAAAGCGATTTAATGCGGGCCGCAGTTGGTTTGTTGCTGAAACAAAAGAATTATGTTGTAAGTAAACTTGATATTAGCTCTGTTAATTAATAAAACATAATGCATTTCAAAATCATTTTAAGGGCAACGAGAAGTTTCGCAAATCTGATTTCGTTCTAATGCAAAACAAAAGTCAATTCGCTGTTAATAAAATGCTGGAAACTGATCTCCATGGCGGTAATAGCTTCACCTACTCGAACGTCCAGGTCATAACAAACAATCAACATATGGTCGACCAGCAATTTGGACGCTTCTCGCAGTTTGTGGAATCACAGCCAGAGCCACTGCGTTTAGAAATGAAACGCTTTTATGCGCCGATGCTCTGCCATTTGTATATTGAGCTACTAAAAGCGCGCGAATCGAAGGGCGCCGTCGAATTGCTGAAAAAATATGCGCATCTAGTAGCACCGGTCGACCTGTACGATGCACCACTTCCCACAAAGATAAATGGCTGTTCGGTAACGAACGAGTCACAAATTTCGGGAGCCGCCGACTGCCACATCCGGTTTGCTAGCGAGGCGCAAAATACTGGCGATGTGGAACTGGATTACTTTATGAAATTAGTACAAATATTATCGGGCTGTACGAAGCTGGAGACTGCGGAATCGGACCCAACTGTGGCGCATTTTCGCGCATCCAAATTCGAGCTGCATACGACGGCCCAGGTGGTTGATAAAATTAGCACCTATTTGCATCGACGCGGCCATGTGCTGATTATGAACCTGATCTACACCTGGCTGCACATTCACATTGTGGACAACGATCAGCGTCTCTTCACAGAGGATCATCTGCTGGGAATAACCGAAGAGCTTGATGTGATAGACGAATTGGATACTGATGAGACAGCCACAATACCAAGTACACCACATAGCAGCCGAAGCGAGCACAAGTCCGGCAAATCTTGGGACAAGAGTACTATTAAAAAACGTCCTGCCGAGGAGCCAATCGTTAAACTGGAGTTTGAAGTTAAATCGGAAGCTGCGATTACCGTGTCTGACCCGGCTCCAGCCGTAGATAAACAGAAACTCAACATTGACGCCTGCCTCGATTCAATGAAATCTTCCACAACGCAAATACTGAAAGCTCAAGCGGATCTGCCATGTTTTTATAGGGTTTGCGAGAGGTCGCGTGGGCTCACCTCGGCCCACGTGGATAACAACGAATGTCACATGCTTGCAGGCTTTGATAACTCCGCCGTTCAGCTGTGGCAACTGAACCAGCATAGCTGTAAGGGTAAGAGTTTTTACAGACGGGCTCCCCACTCACAATGCGCCTGGGAACTTAACAATTGCACAGACGACGAGCAAGAGGAACTCGACAGCGATGAGGAATCGCTCACATGCAGCGCTGAACAGCGCCGCGAGCGTCACAAAGCCGCACGCAAGAAATATCCGGATAACTCTTTGTAGGTATTCAAAAACTACTGTAGATAACACCTAATAATGAACATCTTTTTCTTCTTCAGCAACGAGTATGGAGGTGTCCAGATGCGAGGACACACCAAAGGTGTCACCAATGTCCGTTTCTCCTCGCATTACCCGCTCTTCTATAGTGTGTCCAAGGACTGCACGTTGCGTTGTTGGCGGGCGCATAATTTTCAATGCGCAGCCATTTACCGGAGTCACAACTATCCCATCTGGTGTGTGGATGAGAGTCCTGTTGGGCAGTATGTAGTCACTGGCTCCAAGGATTTGAGTGCACGATTGTGGTCCCTGGAGCGCGAGCATGCGCTGATCATATATGCTGGTCATACGCAAGACGTTGAGGTTGACTAAAAGCAATCGATATTTTATACATTGAGCATATCATAAATCTGTTCTTTTATTCACAGTGCATTGCGTTTCACCCAAATGGCAATTACTTAGCAACCGGCTCGGCGGATCATTCGGTGCGTCTGTGGTGCGCGACCAGCGGAAAACTAATGCGCGTCTTTGCCGACTGCCGGCAGGCAGTCACTAGTCTGGCGTTTAGTAACGATGGCAAACTGCTGGCTGCTGCCGGGGATGAGTCTAAGGTTCGTATTTTCGACCTGGCTGCGGGCGCTCAACTGAGCGAGTTGAAGGATCATCCGACCAGTGTTAGTTCTATAGCATGGGGAGCACACAATCAGCAACTAGCGACTGCCTGCATCGATGGCAGCCTAAGACTGTGGGACACTAAGAAGCTGACGTCCATGAAGTATGTTCTTACTGCAACAAAATTTGTATATAAATATAAATGGTAATTATTTTTGCACATTACAGCGATAGCAGCAGCAGCAGCGGGAGCAACTACTCATCATCATCAACTTCTTCATCAGTTACAACGAATCGTCTGTTAACTCTAAATAGTTCCTGCCAGCGTCTGGTTGATGTATTTTATGGACGCAGTAAAACGCTCTATTGTATAGGCACTTAAAGGATGTCACAGTAATTAATAATAGTTCTTGTTTTTAAAATAATTTATTTGTAATAAGTCTGTATAATAAGTATTACTGTTGCTATCAAGTGGAACAATGTGTTTTCTTGCTTTTCAACAATTTTAAACTAGCATACCTTCGTGTACTACAAAATGAATATTAAATAATTCGTGATGTCTCTGAATGCCAGAACATTGTATATACTCGTATATTACAAGGTATACATACATAATCATACAATTGTTTTTTTGGATCGCCGGCTGTTGGGCTATATCTATTGTACAGAACATAAATATACTTATATTTGCTCAAACTGTTTCATTTCATTAATCTAATAAATGGAGTATAATGTGTGGAACTGTAATCAAGAACTATCAACTTAAATATTGTTACATATTTTTACCGCTATTACAGCTGCGCAACTGACTTAATTATAATATATGTATGTATAAGTAAGCATATGTACATTCATGTACTTACAATGGTTTTGGACACTCGCACAGCCCATTGGAACAAAACACTTTTAACTTAGGTGATACAGATTTGTGGTTTACAATCAATTATTTAACATTCAAGCGCAATCTGCATGACTTCATAGTGAACAAAAAATATGTTTGAATGGGCAGTAATTGAGATGATATATATGAATTAATATAACAAAACTCTAAACTATTCGATTTTAAAAACTTAAGCTATTTATATATATGTGAATATATATTGATATAAATAAAAGCGTACAACATGAGCAATTGAAGTGGCATGTAGTGCGCATAGTTTTTGTCACAGTCAAACCTAAGAACAGACCAATAACCCTACAATTTGTGGAATATAGTGCCAGTAGTTCTAACTGTGATCTAATCGATAATCAATGTTGGGTGTTATTTATAACAAATGAGTATAGCTTGAATCCGGTTTTGCTGGCTTACTAGCGTCCCCGGCGTCCTCGTATCAATTGCAATGCCTTTGCCATTAGCGGTGCCTTCTTGTTACGCACTGGAGCAGCTGTGGATCAAGCGAAAAATCGAATGCAAGGATATGTATATTATATAATGGTATTGTACAGTTCATCAGGATGTTACTTACACACTTGAGCTGCGTCACGCGCTGAACCGATCACACGAAGTCTAGCATCGCCCACCTTTGCCGCGTTGGGCGCGACACTGGACAAAGCGGCCACACGAGCCGCTGGGGTGGCTATGAGCTTGCCTTTAGTGCCATATTGCTCCTGCTTGCGCTGTACATTGCGTGGAGGCTTCACCATTGAGTCAACAAATGCCAATTGGGTTTTGCGCACCGGCGCCTCACTGATTTTCTGTGATGCTTTTATACTCTCGGCAATTGTGCTTAGTTTGCGCTCCTTTTCCTCCTCACAGCGCTTTAAATGTTCAATTGTCAGTCAAATTCTAATCAATGAGTGCTATAAATATAGGTTTACCAAAAACATTTCTCGCCATGTTTCCATTTCCTCCCTGCGCTGGCTACGACAATGCCGCTGCACATGCTGCTGCCAGAGAACATCGCTGTCTTCCATCAGATAAGGATTGTATTCTTCAACGTTCAATAGCTGCTGTGGTGTGGCACGTTCCAGAACTGGACGCAACACATCGAAGGGCACTCCACCCGTGTATTCCAAAGCTAAAAGGTGTTTATAGAAAAAAAAAATTGATTAGAGGACTAATGCTGCAATATTTAATGTCTTTTTTCACTACCGTCAATGTTCTTTTGAAGCACACGCGTGCAAAGATCAAAGAGCGACGGCACCTGTAGTATCTGTCCAGTTCTAACACCTGAGTAGATCTTGGTGCTGCCAAAAAAATGCATTAAATTGCGGATAACTGTTTGTCATAGACAATTAACTAACCGCATTGTCTTGGATGATATTCCAGCTGCTAGCGCTTCAGACTCATTGAAATTGCGTGGTTGCCTAGGAGTAGAGCTTCCCAGACCTTGATTGAAGACACAATCCATGACGGTTTGATTCAGTGGCATGGGCTTATAATTATTAGATATAGTAGGCAATTCCAACGCTATACTGGGGTCGAGAGGCTCCAGCTTTGCCGTGGATGCTAACAGCTCAGGTTTCTATAAATTGATCCAACGACCAACAGTAAATTTCATTAATTTATCTCTATCGATTCACTATAGGTTTTTACCTTTGTACTAGACATTCTGTTGGTGGAAGTTGTTGCTGTTGCTGTTGATGTTGATGTTGCCGTTGTTGTTCTTTT